CTGGGTATACATCAAAAAGAATTGAAAAAAAAGATCTTCAAGAGATATTTGCATGGTCACATTCTCAGTAACATTATTCACAATAGTCAAGAGGTAAAAGCAACCCAAATGTCCATTGATGGATGAGTGAATATACAAAAATGTAGTATTTCCATACAACGGAATACTATTCAGCCTTGAAAAGGAAGAAAATTCTGATATATACTATAGCATGGATGGACTTTAAGGACGTTATACTAAATTAAATAACACAGGCACAAAAGACAAATAGTATATTATTCCATTTATATGAGGTGTCTCAAGTAGTCAATTTCATAGAGATGGAAAGTAGAATGATGGCTACCAGAGGCTTATAAGAAAAGGCAAAGTGTAGGAGCATTGTTTAACAAGTACAAAGTTTCAGACTTGCAGGATGAAAAAGGTCGAGAAATCTGCTTAAAAATAAGTGTAAGTTGACAAATTTTATTTTGTTTTTACCACAGCAAAAACTGAACCAAAAGTATATTATGAAAGCAGCTTCAATATTCAGCTACCATCTTATATTCTCATAGTGTATGACAAACCAGGACTTACACAGGAATGGATCAACAATTTCAAGTGGAAGTCTGTGGTTTAATTTGGTTGTCCCACAGGTGCACAAAATACAAGCTAAAATCTCCTGGAAAGAATGTAATTATGGTATAATATTGTAAACCTTAGCTTTAAAAACTGTTGTATCTAGCACGCTATGCTAAAATTAAGGAATTCTCATCTCAGACCTCTTACTGACCAGCTGTTACTTTTTTGATCCCTCCTTCCCTTTCTTTTTTTCTTTCATTCATTCATTCATTTTCTTTCTTTCTCTCATTCCTGTAAATTGAACCAAATGATTCTAAGTGGACCGATTTTGTGGTTATTTTCACTACTGGGAAAGCAGCAACAAATTTCTCTTCCTTTTGTGATATGCTTTTAGGGACCCAGAGATAAGCCACTATAACAGTGAAAAGATGTCATAATTTTTCTGCTTTGAACAAACATATAATAATCTTTGCTATTTACATAAACATATAAATAAAGATGGGATATTTGTTTGTTTGTTTTTGGGTTTTTTTTTTTTCTTTAGACAGGGTCTTGCTATGCAGTTCAGGCTGACATCAAACTTGAAGCAATTCTCCTGCCTTAGCCTACCTGGTGCTAAGATTAAAGGCATGCACCACTATACCTAGCAAGATGATCATATTTAACAGTGAACATAAACAGAAGAGATAAAAGGAGGCTGACAGCTTCTGCAGAGATGACAAGCCCACAGGGTCCTCCTAGGGAAAGTGTCACTTCAAAGAATGACCTGGCTGGGAAGCCCACAGGCTGACTTAGGTGACTGCCGTAGGTTTTGTAACAAACCTTGGAGCCCCTCTGGTGTGGACTGGATTCAGCCACTGTCATATAATGCTCCCCCCACACACACAAACACACACACTTCTAGCTTCCACAGAGCATCTTCCTCTCTCTATTGCTCCCATTATTTATTGAATGACATTAGACATTCCAATAAAAGCATCATCTACCACTTCCTTTCCAGGTTCTGGGTAACTCAACGAGGTAAAATTTGCCTAAGTTGGTGGTCTTCAGATGCAAGAGGTAGATATGAGCATATGCCTTGAATTTTGTAATAGAACAAAATTTTTTAACAAAGGACTTTGATTCTGATGTACATAATAAATGCCCATCTGCAAAAGCAACAACAAATAAAACTTGCTCATAAAGGATCTCATGTCATTGTGAGGCCAGCAGTTTAACTGCTCTGTGGAAACTTGAAGCAGTTTTGAATGGACTTCCAAATGCAGTGCAGTAGAAGATACCAGGAAAAGCTAGCCAGCCCAAGCCAGCTTTCCAACTGACAAAATATAAGAAAATATAAGTTGAAAATATAAGTTGCCATTTGAGGGTCAAATGCCATTCATCTCTATCAACCTTTAGTAAATAATTTACGGCCATGATTTGCTCCAATTATTAAGAGTCAAAGCTCAACTGTAATGTAGGAAAATTCACCTTTTGCCAATCACTATAAAATAACACCATAAACTTTTCAAAACCATACATAATGCCAAATCCTACTGCAACTATGCTGATATCTGGCCAGGTTGCACCTAAAACAGAAACCTAAAAATCAGAATTGGACTGCATGTATAAATGGAACAAAAGCTGCAATTCTATAGAAAATTCCTAGTTTTCTGGGGGGAAAATGAGACTCCCAGCATTGAGAATTCTGCCTGATCTACAATACAGAGCCACTGTCTAATAGGAAAAAATTATACCAGAAAACAAAGAGAAAAGTGACTCTTTGGCACAATCTTTGCCATTCCATTTCCAAATTGGAAATGAATTTGTCTCAGGATAACCTCCTCCTGCTGCATACATTTCTCACAGAAACCAATCTTCCATTTCAAACCCTGTTACAGTTGCCTCTACAGTGATGAGTCACATATGGCCCTTGGTTTTTATTGAACAAGCCAATTTTTATAGCATTTGTAGTGTGCCACAGAAACTCACAACTGATAATGTATTTAATCCTTATAAATCTAGGATCAATCAAGTGTATACAGGTATAAGTAAATATAACTAAAAACTGAGCCCACTATGCTTGGGGAACAGAGTTTTCAGGCTTAATGAAGACTTCCTTCATTCTTAAAGATGTTCCCTACTACACAATGCTGAATTTAAAGGCCACTGTAGAGTATAGGTACATTTTCATAGAGACTATAAAGCCTTCTCTCCAAAAATGAATCAAAACCCCACTGTTTGCTGGTGTGTGCTCCATGTAAATGCTATATATCCAACAGAAATGTGTACATATATGAATTTTAAAAACCTGCACAAGAATGTTCATAGAAGCACTGTTCTTAGTAACCCCAAACTGGAAACGACCTAAAGATCTACCATCAGTAAAATGAATTGTGCTATACCTAATACTCTGTGGCAATGGGAATGAATGAAGTAGTGATATACATAACAGCACACGTGTGTCCCATAAACATGATGCTGGATATAAAAAAAACAGACATAAAAGAGGGCATACTCTGTAATTTCACTTATGTGAATTCAAGGACAAACAAAGCTATGGAGATAGAAGCTCCAACAGGGATTGTCTAAGGAGGAGAAAGGACTGCCTGCAAAGGGGCATGAAGAACTTCTACAGTGATGAAAATGTTTTCTATGTTGATGGCAGTGTTGTTTACCTGTGTATATCAACTTACCAAACTCAAACTATGTAAGATCTATGCACTTCACTGATTGCAAATTTTATACTCCGGTTTCTCTTCAGATTGTACAAATCTTTCACCTTTTACTGATTGCAAATTTTCCCTCAACCAAAATGAAAGAGATGTGACCCCACATGTGTAAGACTCTTGTTTTGCTCCTATTTTGCTGCTTTCCTGCCAACACTGCTAGAGGCAGGTCAACAACCTATAACCTAATCCAGCTGCTGAAGGAAAGCAGAGCCTGTGAAATTGGGAAATCAGATATGAAAGTCCTCTAACTCAGCTCACCCTGAACCCTCATTTTACTTATTTCCTGATTAAGATGTCAGCCATGGAAAGTTGATAAGGAGATGTCAGAACTCTCCAGTTCTCAAGCTAAGTTTAAATGTCCATGGCTCTCATGATATTCACCTTATGCTGCTCCTCTCCCTATAAGATTATACAGGGAGAGATTTATATCTTATAAATGAAGGAATGGAGATGACAGAACTAAGACATTTAGGCATCTGGAATTTTGGGGGGGTTGAATGTGGCAAATTCCTACCTATAGCCTCCAGATCCAGGCTTGGTGGGGCATATGGCTGCTCAGCTAGAGACTACATTTCCCAGTTTCCCCTGCAACTGCAGTCATGAGACTGAGCTCTTACAAATAGAATGTGCATAAAAATGGCATGTATAAATTCTACTTGCACTGAAGGAAATCACCCGTCCTGAACTTTGTCTTCAGTGCCTCCCTCCCAGTTCATAGGTTGGGACATAGGCAATATCCTAGCTTCAATTATGCCACTAAAGTCAATACTGTAGGTGTTAAGTAAGAGTTACAAAATGGTTGAATTCTAAGTCCCTAAGTGACTCTAGAGCAGTGCTGTACCACTAGACCAGTCTACACTCACTTCTAGCCTGCTATGCTAAAGGAAAAGGTCAGTCTTTTGAAAATCACTGTGTCTGCAGATTCTTTATATCTTAGATAATCTGCATCTTAACTATCACCTCTACCATTTAAACTTTTGAAGTTTGCGGTCTCCAGGCAGGGATTTCTAAGTTTCACATGCTCTATTTAGCTCAGGACTTTGAATTCCCAAGTTCAGACTTACACTAGTACATAAAGATAACACCCTCTTTTTTCTATTATACAATGTCAATATTGTTGCTTAAACATTCCCCACAGTCTATATAAGATTTTACCAACTCCTTAAAGTCTATAGAGTCCTTTTGAAACATGGTTCCATCTTCCATGCTTAGCTGCACTGCCTGTACTTGTTTCACTTGCATCTGTGTTCTCATTGCACTGAATGTTCCGTGAATGCACCTTGTACATGAAGAATTCTATATACTCATACTCTGGTCTGGCCAAATGAAATGGCATTTTTATCATCTCTCCATCCCCTATCTTCTCCCATTCATGAGGTTATTCTTAATAATTCTTCAAAACAGTCCAGAAGACCCCAGAGGGGCTTCTTTAAAACTTTCAAACAGAATGATTCCCTTTTTCTGCTATATTTCCGTATCACTTTGGACAAGATTCAATTAAACCATTTACCACCCTGTGCTATTAGGATTTATTTGTGTCTCCTCTCACAGTCAGAATATATGCTCCGAAGACAAAGTCCATGAGGACAAAGACTGTGCCTTACCCATTTTCCTAACCTTTGCATTGAGCATATAACCTGGCTTATATTTGATTAATGTTGAGTAAAAGTAGGAAGCAGATTTTAACAGGTGGCATGTTTCAAAACCCTGCATACACATTATCATCCTTACCTATTCAGTGCAAATGCATAGTAGAATTTAATATTATGCTGATCAGCCACATCACACATAGGCAGCATCTGCAGCGTTTCTACCAGCTTGACCATTGCATCATAATCCTGTTGGTAAAAGGTCTCAGGATTAGAAAGACAGAGAACAGCTTTTTGCAGATTTTTCTCAATAGTTACAAACATGAGACAGCCTTTCCTTATACAGTTTTAGTAAAGTTACTTGTGGCCTCTACTAGAACAGAAAAAAATCAAGTTGAAGAGAGGAGAGGACAGAGAAGGAACCTCTGATATAAAGGGCACATATGGATCAAAGGAACACTGTTAATCCAAAGGCAACAAAAGAAATCAAGTGAGTCTAGCAAAGTGTAGGAGGGTTAACACCAGTAGCAGAGCTGTGTATTAAAAAATAGCTGGACATATAAATATAGGAAAATAACTTCCCACATAAAGAAAGAAAATATCTTAGTCCTTGTTTTTGCTAGAATCACATTAGTCTAAACCAGGGCTCAGCACTACTGAACTCAGCACTATCGAAGTACTGGACTCCAAATATTCTGCAATGAAATGCTGTCCTGTGCACTACAGGATACGTAGCACCATCTCTGGCCTCTACACAGTAGAGGCCAGCAGTAATTTCCTAACTCACACTCAGTTTTGCCACCCAAATGTCTCCAGATGCTGCCAAATTCCCACAAGCTGAGAATCACTGTTCTAACTGCTGCATAATACCCAGGGAAAAACTGCTACCATGTATGTCTTAGTTGTGTCTCTTCTTATCATAGTAGTGCTATCTGTTATCCTTTGTCATCCAGGCTTAGAATTATTGGTATTGGCCAACTTGGTGGTAGCTATAGTCAGCAGAGAAGGGCTTCCTACTGAAAGCCCATGCCTGTCTCGTGGCTCTGCACCTTGACACAGCTGCCTCAGGAAAGAGAAGGTAGTATATTCCAGGGGGCCTGTAAGTACCATCAATGGAAGGCTAAGACATGAGGGGTTACTTGAAGGCAAGGGTAGAAGAAAGCCAGCAGCTCAAGGGAAGAAGATTTCAAGAGAGGTCAATCCCATAGGGGCATAATTTAATCACTAACATAATCCCTAGTAGCCTTGTAATTAAAATCAGTTAATTGCATCTATTACTAGGTGCATGAGTTCCTTAGTGGATGACTCTGTTCTTGGTCCACATTATAAGTGGATCTCTCCCTTTTTAGATTTAAATAACTATGGCAAACAATTCAGAATTTGTAGAATTCTACAAGTGAGATATGCTATCCTGTGTGCTCCCAGAGGGAAGAGAGGCAAGACATCCTTAGAAATGACTCCATAGCAAATAAAATTGGAGGAAGAAATGCTTGATTTTCTTCATGGCACCATATCCCACAAGCCTTGTCTCAAGAATTCTCCAGCAGCTTCTGATACCTGTCTTAGAATAAACATCTGCGTTCCCTGGGTCCTGTACATGCCTCTGGAATACGTGCTCTGTCACTCGTAAGTGATTGTAAACAAAAAAGGAAGTGAAAAAGGTCTTAGGTTTACTAACAACTCTGTGATTTTGGCTAAGTTACTATATTTCTGTGTGCCTCATTTCTCTTATTTGCAAAATGGGTGTAATTAGGGTAAATCCATACCATAGGGTTAAGAGGATTAAATAAATGAGTTTCAAAAGGCTTGGAACAATGCCTAGCATAAAGTGTATATAAATTATTATAGTCATTGTTTCTTATACTAAGTAGTCCTGCATATGTTATCTCTTGTGAGTATGGTTATACTAGGCTCAACGTGACAAAAATCTCCCCCAAAACTTTTGTCACAGTAGTTAAACTGAATGTTCTATAACCTAGTGATATACCTATTTATATAAAACATCTACATTACCATATACCTGATATAAAAGTACTTCATATAAGGACTTTTTCATTGCAGGGAAAAATTCAGCCTCAGCAACGCATATTTCATACCTGGATATCACGGTAAGACAGGAGTAAATTAATGATGACATCTGCGGTCATAACCTCAACGTGATCCATGCGAAGTTTGATCCTAGCCAGTTCCTCCACCAGTTCACTGCCCTGGCATTGTGCTCTGGCTCTCCGGATGTCATTTAACAAGACTTCTTTGTAGTAAGTACTGAAGCGGGAAATACAAAAAGCCTCGGTTATATCTACAGGCAGCCAAGACTCTTTTTTTTTTGGTACTAAAACACATAGTTCTCACTAACATGTCCTAAGCTAACAGCTGGAGAACTCGGCCTAGACCTGAGTCTCTTTGAAAGAGCATCCAAGAGACACTCTGACTTTGTTATTCACATCTTATAGACATCAACCTGTAGCTTTAAATGTTACAACTTTAAACTTACAACTTTAAAATATTCCAAAGTTAAAATATTACAACTTTAAAATTCTCCAAAGCTAAAATACTCAGACAACATGCAGTACTTTTTTTTAACCAAAAATAAACAAATTAACTTTAAAAGTTACTACTTCAGTCCTTACATTGATTTGTTTAAGACACATCAGTTTGGAATATATTATGGAAAGTGAGTACACACAATAGGAAAGGGGCTGTGTGGTGCAGGAAGCCAGTCAACTACTTCTCTCCACCGAGACCTCCTGGGGGGATGAGACGCCACGCGTGGTGAGTGTCCTCATGGGCAGCTGGAGCACTGGGGAGGCTGCCATGCCCCAAGGGTAGCTCCAGGCTCTGGACCACTCAAAACCAGAACAGAAACAAAAACAAACACCTCACTGTTCATTCACCCTTGAGCCAGCCTCACTGACCAATAGCACCAGGGAACCTTCATTAACTACTTTTCTTCCTTTGTGGTCTGGGGATTAGACCCAGGGCTTTGAAGATGTTAGGCAAGTGCTCTAGCACTCAAATTTATTCAAGGCAGGATCTCACGAATGTAGCCCCACCTCAAATTTGCGATTCTCCTGCCTCAGCCTCCCAAGTAGCTAGGACGGCAGGTGCATGCCACTACACCCGGCTAAATCAAAGTTTTTGCTTGAAATGTGATTATTCAACTATCCTAAACTCTATGGCAGCCCTATAACAATAAGTTGCACATATTCTGAATTTCATAATTTAAACATGATATGGTTAATATAAACTATGTATCTCAACAACTTCTTTCAGGGAAGGTGATACTTAAAAGTTACTTTAAATGACAATGTTAATTCTTGCTCAGAATGACAATGTCAGTATTCTACAGTAGTGGTGGCATCCCCATTATTGCAGATACTGAACCCTGGAATCAAACTTGATTGAACAAATAATTCTTCTGTACAGGTGGGTCCATGTACTATGTGAAGGACTTTTTATTCAATCTACTTTCTCTGATATTTTTAAACATACATATGGCAAGAAGGCATCTTACTTATTTTCCCCACAAATAAGAATCACAAAGCCAAACAAAACCTTCAAAGCCATGAAAGCAAGGGAAATTCACTTGGAAGACATACCTGCCTATTAAGTGTCCCTTTTAGTAGTCACAAAGCTCTCCCTCATTGAAGGAGAGCTGGAAACTAGTGTTGTGACCCTGAACAATCACAAAAGGTCCAGAAGCCATGTGGGGAAGCTCAAGGACACCTTCACCTTTCACCTCTGTCCTCTTCTTGTCATATTTGATTGCCAGAATGTAAAATATGCCAATGTAAAGTGTAAAATTTTTCTAATGTAAAATATAAAATTTCCTTCATATGGGTATCTAGATAATAACAAGAACATATAAAAATATTTAAAGCAATATAAATCCACACCTGAATGTCACCACAGCCTCTCATAAAGCCAATGCTAGTACATGGTACTTGGCTTAAAAACAAAAAATGTCCTAATTTTGTATAGAGAGGTCAACTTACAATGATCACAGATTTATTTAAATATCTTGTCCACTTTCCAAGTAATTTTAAAATAGACACTGGGCACTGCCAAGCAGTAATACTGTCAGCTCATTAAGAAGCTGAAAGACCTAAATGTAGAGAGTAAAATTAAGCTGCTCATTAAAAAGAGAACAGGCTAAATAGCTGTCTCTAGAGAAAGGAAAACAAAACATAGGGTAAGGACAAATGGTACTCACTCTGAATAATTATAAAGCTATGTCACAGAAATGTGCATACAGTACACACTCTGTTCTGATGCTCATAATAATACCTCAGTTACATTTAAACAATGAGGAGATATCCCACAGACAGGGTTCTGATGTAAAAAATATCAGTACATTGTCTTAAATTTATTTCCTTGTTTGTCAACTGTGATTATTCTAATGATGAGTGAATTAGTATAATCGGTCAGTGTTTGAAATTCTGTCATTAATTGAATGAGTCATTAAGTTGGGTGACAACCATCGGCCATTTGGTAGACTATAAAGGTATCAAAGCTATGAAAGTGGTATTAGTTTAGCCTGATGGGTAAATAGTTATACTTTAGTCTTGTTTTCAAAGGTAATTCTGAAAAATTGTTTTAATAAATGAAGAAATCTAATAAGAAGAGCAATTTTTAAGTAAATAAAATACTGACTTAATTATGGCTTAGGGACATCAGATATTCAATAAACATGCAATCATTTCTGTCTCTGGTAACCAGGGAAGATGTTACTCATCAGTGTGAACTTGGAAATGGCTTCAAAGCCCTTTTTAGTACAGGACTCAAGACAGACTTTACAAACCTATCAGAGTCATTACTTGAGCTAAAATATTACCTGCCATCTCTGCTATAGATGTTTTCAACCATAGGCACAATTTATCCTCTCACTAACCATTGCCAGACTCCCTGCCAATCATGGAGTGGAGTCATTCAGCAGACATTTCAAGCCCTTAAAAATTCAACCACATTGGGGGTTGGGGATTTAGCTCAGCAGCACAGTGCCTGCCTGGCAAGTACAAGATCGTGAGTTTGATTCCCGGTACCAGAAAAAAAAACCAAAAAAAAAAAAAAATTCATCCACATCAAAAAAGTTCCTTTCTTCCTAATACACGCATATGCCCAATGAGAAACAGACTTGAACCCATTTCTTACAAAGATGTAACTCATTTGGCAGATTCAAAGCTAGTCTGCCTCCTTCACAGATCCAAAAATAAGGTATTGGGAGAATTTTCTCCTTAAATTCACTAAAATGTTTATTTTGTAATAAGACAATAGTTAACGAGGTATGACTGAATGAGTTGCCAAGAATGTGACACAAAAACTTCATTTGCTCTCTGCATTGTCATGTAGTCACACATATCTAGGATTCCAGTCTTTTCCACTAAACTCTAGAGAAGATAGTCTCCACCCAGAGAAGAGGCAACAGAAGAGAAAAAGGGAGCAGACTTTTAACAAGTATGGAGCTTATGCCAATACTTTAGTAGTAATTCTTCACAGTTCAGGGTACCATGATTTGAGGCAAAGTGTTACATGTAGTTCTTGGCATTTCATTACAAGTCAGTTCTGCCAATGCTTTGGATTTTCATTTGTTTTGGAAGGACAAATCTTCCTGTGACACAACTAACAGGAATAAATCCTTTAAATTGGCTGCCAACAGAACAAGTGGACCCTTTGGTTAAGAGGAATAATTATTCTGCCTTTAACTTTTACAGTAAGGACCCTAAAGGTAAAATTTATCAAGTACTGTGGCTCAAGGAAGGGAACTGACTTTTCCAAGGCTACACAGCCAGCAATCACCCAATCCAGGACCTGCAATTCAAATCTACCCACTTCTGAGTGAGCATTTCACCCTACCTCTACGTAAATCAAGCATGCTACAGGTTAGGATGGCTACAGCTTGACTTAATGCACACAGGTACTCAGTACAAGAACTCAAGGTCAGAATGACCTTACCCTGGCATCTTAAGAACTTCAACACCAGGGGGGTTATAAAGCTATGTTTAAAAATTATTTTGAAACACAGAATCTCCAAGTTGAAAAAATCATTTAAAAACATCACTGACTTAATTCCCTTATTTTCTAGAGTAGTCACAGAGAAGAACAGTTACATATTAAGGTCACATAGGGAGTCAGGTCACACAGAAGCCCAATTTTAGCCTCCTTACTCCAGTTCCACTCTTTTTTGGCTTTACCTCAGTAATTAAGCTTAGTTAGGCACTAAGGGGAAATGATGGATTCCAGGTGATTTTTAAATGATTGGCCGACATTCAGCCATCACAATAATTTCCAAGTGTACTGCCTCCCTGAAAGTGAAGGGAAATATTGGCAAGACTCCCAGCGCTGTTGGCGGCTGATGGGAATTACCATGAAGGCACATGGATGTTCCTGAGGAAGTGAATGAACTTGTCCGTCAGAGATATGCACAGTGGGCTCAGGACAGCCTCCCAGTTGGGCTGCATGCACTCCCAGGTTCGCCTTTGGACTGCATTCTCATAGCAAATGTAACCACCATATGACGTCACAATGTAGGGGATAAAGTAATAATTTCCATTAGATGCCTGAAAAAGAAACAAAAAGGTTGCAGAAAGTTACTGATGTGGAAGCACAGCTGTGGCTTTGGTAAAGTTAGACTTGGTGGGACAGGGAAGGAGATGTATGGGTATGAACAATAATTAATGCAATATCACTTAGACTTTACAAGGCACAAAACAGAAAACCACTCAGTTTCAAAAGCTCTATCACATAAATATATGACAAAAATTTGGTTGCAAATGCTGAACTGATCTAAGCATATTTCTGAACTTCACTGGCAGAAATGTTAGGTTTTTAAGCCTCAGAAATCATATTGATTCATCACATGGCCCCCAAACCAGAGGGAATTTGAACTCACTGATAACTAAGGATTATAATGAGTCATACTGTTTTTCTTTCAGCATTACCATTATTGATAATTTAATACAGGCAAACTATTATAAACTTTGTAGGAAGCAGGTATTAATAAATATGATTACTCTCAGAGAGCTTTTGAGAAGAATCTGTTGAGTTTTTTTTACCCTTAATACTCAGGTAAAACAGTATCTTCTTATGGAATAATTACAGTTTGACTGTGAGTTATGATCTATCATCAAGCACAAACATTTATTTCTAAAAAGCATTAAATTAATGCTCAATTTTCAGCACATTTGGAGGCTAAAAATACATTTTCCACATGACATTCCTCTATCAATTAATCTTTTGCTATACTGCCATGAAAAGCAACTAGCTTAAAATTTCAAACTTTTAAATTCCCATATCTCCATTTAGTTTTAAAGAATTTATATGATGCTACAAAATAATTCACCTGACTTCTTCCAGTTTTTAAACTAAACTAATGAGGGTATCTAGGTAATTTGACATGATGCAGACATAAACTCAGAAAATATACCTTCTCCAATAGTGGGACATCAAATAAGGGATAAGTCTTCTAAAAGAAATTCAGTAATTACAGAGGCAACTGTCAGAATGTTACCATCTCAGATAAAACAGAAGACTTGGGAAACCTTACAACATGGTGGAACTAGTTTCACACATATAGAGTATATGGAATACATTTTTAAGTTTTCCTTTTGAATAAGATGTTTACACAGATAGGTAGCATTCTTATTTCTATATTAAAATAACTGTCCTAAAACTATCTCACTCTATCTCTCCCTTCCTCTTTTATCTTGTTGAGAAGCAATGGTCCTGAAGTGCCATATTTTCAACTCTAAGACAAAAAAGCAAGTACCAGTGTTGCTCCACTAAAACATATTCTAGACTAGATCAAGTAACCTCTTTTATAAGGGCTAGATGGTCAATTTTTCAGTTTTGCAGACCTCACCATATATGTCCCAACTACTCTACTCTGCTGTGCTGTTGTAGCATGAAAGCACATGCAGACTACACACAGACATGAGGGTGTGGTTGTGTGCTGATAAAACTGTATGGACACTAATTCAAATTTTTACATGTACTGAAATAATCTTCATATTTTTTTGAGACAGGGTCTTGCTATGTAGTTTAGGCTGGTCTTTAACTCACTATGTAGCCCAGGCTGGCCTTGAACCTGCAGTAATTTTCCTGCTTCAGCCTCCCAAGTGCTGGGATTACAGGCATGTGCCATCATGTCCAGCTTTCTTTTCATATTTTCCAACAATTTAAAAAGGAAAAAACGTCTTTGTGCATAGGCCACGCAAAGATAGGTAACAGATCAGCTTTGTCTTGACTAAGCTTCCTGATAGCTCATTATCCCTGCAGGTAGGGTTTTCTTAGAATACTTATCCTGCTGTACAGCAGCAGCCACAGACCATCCCTGTATTAGCACTGTCTTAGTTACTTTCTTATTGCAGAGACAAAATATCTGATACTAACAACTTAAAGGAGGAGAGGTTTACTTTGGCTCATGGTTACAGTCCCTGGTCAGCTGGCTCCATGGTAGAAATGGCAAGGTGGAAGGGCCTGGGTGGAAGAATGCTGTTCACATGAGTATGACTAGGAAGCACAGTGTGAAGGGAGGAAGCAGGGAAGGAGATACACCCTTCCAGGTCATGCCCTCAGGGGTCCATCTCTTCTGACAAAGTCTACTTCCTAACAGCACATTTAGCTATGAATTCATCACTGGATTAATCCACTGATGGGTACTGTGACCCCCATGATTCAGTCACCTCCCTAAAGCCCTACCTCTGAACACAAGGCTTGTGGGGGACATTCTAGATCCAAACCAGAACAGATTATTAAACCAAACCTCTCAAAACACAAATGCCAATTCTATAGGTACAAGGGGTAAAATTTCAGCTGTGAAGGTGGTTCATATCTACGTCTTTGAAATCACTAGGAATTGACTGCATTAGAGGAAAAAAGACCCTTCCCCTCCCTGTAATACTGTCAATTTATCAGAGACTGAAATTGGCCAGAAAAGTAAGGCTTTGGTAGGTTCCTTCCTCTTCTATGTCAAAAAAGCCATGCTAATAAAGTAAATTAAATGTCACTCATACATTCAGAGGTTAAAATATTTTTTCTTCTACTTAAAACTGGTTGAAACTATGGCAAAAACAAAACCAAACCAAAAAATCTTCCTATTTCAGACCGAGGAGGAGGAGGGAGGAAAGGACTATGTTGATCAGTGAGGTCTAGAAGGTAAATTACAATAGAAGAAGCACAGCTTATTTTCAAAAATGTTACAGCTAGGCTGCAGGTGTGAGGAGCTCCTAAAATCCTGTTCTCAGAAAAATAACTGTAACTAGTAAAAATTCTTATTAAAAAAAAACATTTAAAATCTCCTTAAATTGTCCTAAGGGTATATGGAGAAACAGTGTATCCAATAAAATTGATTAAATCTTGGTAAGAACAATGAGATTCTATAGCATTTGAGCTATAACCTGTTCCTCTCCCAGGCTTAACCCCTAGTGATAGATGTTCAAATGGGTGTGGCAAAGATGATGAGGCGTCCTCATTCTTAGGCCGTAGTGACAGACCAAGCTACCAACACCCTCATCCACCACAGCCTGTTGTAAAAGCTCTAGACCAGGCAAGTGTGGTCAAGAAAACTAGGACACTCTTTTACCACCTAGCCCCACTCCCACTTAGACAAAGAAGCTCTATTTAGGCAAAGCAAGGCCACCAACAACCTTGGGCTGATTGCTCTTGCCCCATCTCACTCATACGGTAAAAGTTCAGTATCAAGAACCTTCATGCTATTAAAGAATTTCTGTTAATTTTGTTAGCAGTAACAATAGATATTGTGATTATACATATTTCTCTTAATTTAAAAATGCTGTGGTTATTTTAAAAAACCTTCATAAGAAGACCACAGTCTGCCAACTCTGCCCAATGCCTAACTCATAGAACAGAGTGTCACCCCCAAGAGAAGCCATTTTCTCTACCACCAGCCCCCACAGAAGCAGTTCAGAGCCCTCCCTGGGGAAGAGGCAGACTGTAAGAACAGACAGCTCTGTAGCTCTGTAGCTGTCAGCACACCAACTGATTTTATGGATGACACTGCAGGGAAGTTCAAGCCTACGGGCATTGAGAACACATGGAGATTTTAGTGGCAGGCAGTCAAGAGAAGGCTGGTAGCTCTGTGGTAACAATGACAAAGAGGTCCACAATCCGGTGTATCATAGTCAAAATTTTGAAAGACAGAGATAAAAGAGATGGAGATAAAATGTCATGTACAAGAGTTCAATAGATTAATATCTGACTTTTCATTAAAAATAATGAAGGTCATGGAAAAACCTATTCAAAGTGCTAGAAAAAATATCAACCAATAATCCTGCACTCACTAAAACTATCTTTCAAAAACACAGTTTAAAAAGACATTTATAGATAAACAAAACTGAGATAATGTCATACAAGCAGACCATCTTACATAAATGCTAAATGAAGTTCTTCAGGCTGAAAATGACACCAGACAGTATTTTTTTTTTTTTTTTTTTTTTTTTTGGTACAGGGAGTCAAACTCAGGACCTTGAACTTTCCAGTCAGGCGCTGTACCACTGAGCTACATCCCTGGCCCTAGACAGTAATTTTAATCCACATGATAAAAACAAAGAACATCAATAAAAGTAGTCATTATGCAATTATAAAAATATGAGTACAAATTACCTTCCGTCTCCTGATTTAGAAAGTAAATACAGAAAATGATGTATATACTCATTTTGGGGGGCTTAAAACATATATAAATGTAATCTATTTGACAGTAAGAGCAAAAATAAACCATACAGGGAGGAGAAAACATGTCCTGGAATAAGGAAATGACACCAAATGGTAACAAGTCCATAGGAACGAATGAACAGAACTAAAATGGTAAACAAAAAGGTTAATGTAACACACATATTGCCCTCCACACACACACTTCAAATGTAAGTATAACAAAAGTACTTATAAACATTGTAACTAAATAATACAGAACCTCTGAAACAGGTAAGTAAAGGCAAAGGAATCTAATCTATTTGCATAGAATTACTGTATCTTAAAACTGTTTCCAAAACAAACATTTCTGCTGGAATCTTGTCTACAATATTCTTCTAGTAAAGCTACTCTTCTCAAATCATACCAGAGTAAACTGGTCCTACTCAAACCCTCAATAATGAGGTGCGGAAAATGAGATTTTTGACAAACACATTGTCTGTCTTGTGACAGGTTCTTATTTAAGAAGGCAGAGCAATAATAGCAGCAGAGACTGATGAAGTCTTCCCTGAAACTAGGAGAAGAGCTGATCCTTCGAGCAAATGGTTAGCTAGAGTCAGAGAAAAATGAGGAGAAAGAAAGTAAATGCATGGACTCTGAAACCAGCTGAGTGAGCTTAATGAATAGGACTGAAGAGACAGCAGGAATCTGGAGTCTTGAAAAAGGTAAAAACATTTCCTTTGAGAAAATCTTTCAGAAGATAAAAGTTTAAGAAATTTGATAGAAATCGGGAGTAATGACTACACTGCAAAAAACAATTCATAAATTTGCAAAGGAAAGTACAGGCTTTGAAGGCAAGTACTTTTGTTCTTACAAAGAGGAAGAATAGGCCCAAACATCTTCAAGTGATGGA